CCAGCCGCAACACCTGGGAGCGAGGCCCAGGCTGCAGATGGGGAGGGGGGTGACAGGTAGAAGAGGTGGGGCGGCAGGTACCTGCAGCTGGGGGCAGCCTTTCTGCAGGGCCTCGACAGGCAGCTGGAGGGGAGTGCTGTTGTGGTTGAGGCCTGTGCTCACCTCCAGGAGCTGGAGTTGTGGGCAGCAGCTGCCCTGTAGAGGTGGGGGAGAACACAGGGTCGGAGGCCTGGCAGTCCCTGGCTCAGCACCCAGCTCTGCTCCTGCCTGTGACCAACCTACCAGCAGTGCACCCAAGATGGCTGTCGTCTGGGAGCTGTAGGTCAGCCACAGCTTCCGCATTCGGGGCCCCGCCTCCTCCAAGAAGCTTACCACAGCCGTGGACTCCACCTAGAGACCCAGCACAGAGGTACCGGTCAACGCAGCCCAGGCTTCCTTGGGGCCCCTGGGGACTCCTGGGCTCACCATGGAATGCTGTATGTCCAGGCTGTGGAGCTGGGGGCAGGCTTTGGCTAGCATGATCAGAGTGTCAGGGGTCACACCGTGGCAATCGGAAAGCTTGAGGAAGGTGAGCCGGGGACAGGACTCGCTAACCAGCTGTGGAAAACAGAGGGCCAGTTGGGGTTGGGGGAGGGCAGGCTGTGGTCCACAAGGGAAACAGACCAATGCCTGGTGCCAACCGCACTTTACTGCCTCAGCAATGGTCTCCTTTCTGGCCATGCCAGGCCTACCTGGGTGCTCCCACCTCTCACACCTCCCTGCTGGAAGACATGCCAGGAAAGGAGAACCAAGCAGGCATCTTCGTGGGGCATCGTTGGGCCCCACGGTACCTGACCCACTCCCTGGTGGGTAACCCCAGAGTGTCATGGCTGGCGTGCAAGGCAGCCTCGAGCTCTCACCTTCAACACAGGGTGTACCTGGGACTTCCAGTGGATGAGAGTCAGCCTCTGGAGCTGCGAGAACCTGGGCCGACAGCAGAGGCAGAGCTGCACAGTGTTCCCATGCTGCCCCTTCTGCCAGCCTTCTCCCCACCCATCACCTTCGTGCAGGGAGGCAGGAGGGGGCCTGGGGCTTTCACACAACACACAAGGGGAATGAGAGGATAAGAAAAAGATGGAACTGCTCACCGACTGGGCATAAGCCACTCCAGGGAAGCAAGAAGTTTCTTCTCAGTCTTGGTCCCACTCTTGGCGGGGCGGCCAACCAGCGGGGGTGACAGGGTGAGGGTGTGCCAGAGTGCTGGCTGGGAGGCGGCCTCGTGCCAGCGGCGGCACACGCGTGCAGCCCTGGGAGAAAATCTCTCCTGAGGGGCCGGGCCTTTTGTGGTCGATGCTCGCCCTTAATGGCTGTCGCTATGGGGTTTTCTAAAATGGGGGACCTGCCCCCCCCCCCCGCCAACTCTCACAACGCTGCGGACCCCTCAGTTCAAGGTCGGGCCCCTGGGATTCCAACTGGACGCCCTGAGAGACTGCGCTCTCTGAGACGCGTGTGTGGGCGCTCAGCCACCCGCTGAGTGCCTAAGAGGTCAGCCTGAGACCCGGCGCTGTGCGCGATGGTCCTGGGGTACCTGCCAAGGAAGGGTATAGGCCCATCCGCCGCCACCAACAGCCCGAAAATCTGCAGCAGGATTTCCAAGGGAATGCGGTCGCCCCAGCCCGGGTCGGGCTCCTGCTTCGGTGCGGGTGCGGGTGCGGGTGCGGTCCTGGGCTTGGCCTTGGCCTCAGCGGCGCGGGCCCTGTGGAGCCGCAGCAGCTGAGCACGGCGGGCGGCGCGCCTCTGAGCGCGGGGGCGGGCGGGCCCCGGGCCTGGCAACACCAGCAGCATGCTGTCCGACTGCAGCAGGTGGTAACCGGAGCCGCTCGGCGCCAGCCGATCCCACCACCAGTCCTCCGCCGAGCGGCTCCGCGCCCCGGCCAGCGGCAAGGTCCGGACCCTTTGCCGGGCCCGCCGGGCCACACCCGGGGCCATAGCCACTCGCTGCGCTCCGAGTTCCGCCCAGGAGGAGCGGAAGAGGCGGCTCCTGCGGCGGAAGGGGTGGGGCCTGCGGAGGCGCGGCTTGCCTCGGGGGCGGGGTCAGGGCCCCGAGCAGGCCCTCCCCGCCCCTAGACTCCCCACTCGATTTCCGGAGCGGGCTATCAGGCGCTGGGGCGCGCCGGCGAGTGGTTTCTCGGAATCCCGGCGGGTGAGTTGGAGTCCTCGCTCCCGCTCGGCTGCATTTTCCGGCCCCATCGGTTCTGTGCTGGGTCCTCGACCCTGGGCCGGAGGCGGCGCCCTCCAAGTGTGGCGGGACGGCCGGTCGCCGGGTCAGGGAGCGCGTTCGTTCAGGACCGGGAGGCTCAGGCACCTCAGCGCACCGGTCGGTTCTCCGCCGCCCCCCTGACGCAGCGAGGGGCGGTGCCCGCCGCGGCCACATCCCCAGCCCCGACTTGGCTCCGGCCGTCCGGGGTCTCGCAGAAGCCGTAGAGGTGTGCTTGGCGCCTGAGAGGTGGACCTGTCCCGGAGTCCTTGTCCCGTATCCGTGCGGGGGAGTGCTCTGGCGGTCTCGGTAGCTCACACCCGAAGATCATCTCCCTCTTTCATCATACTCTCCTGGGCTTTGGCGCCTTCTTGCTTCCCTGCCTGCCGGCCTTTGCTGTGTCGTGACCCTGGCACAGGCTGCCGGTGTGCTCGGTCCCTTCTCCTCCCCATCCCCCACCCCCGGCATCCCCCCGGTTTCCCTGGTCTTGGCCGTCTGGTCCTCTCCTGACAATAGTTCTGTGTCTCTCCCTTGTGATTCTGCATGCATGTTTCTTTCTTTCAAGCTAGACGAAGTCTTCAGTTCCCGGAGGAGCCGAAGCGTCTTTTGTGGACCTAGGTGGGGAAAGAAGAGCTGGCCGTGACCTCTGCCCTGTCCTGAAGGCCCCAGCCTTGGGCTAAATGGCAGCACCCCCGCTGGGCCGTCTGGTGCTGACCCACGTGCTGGTAGCGCTCTTTGGCATGGGCTCATGGGCTGCCATCAACGGGGTCTGGGTGGAGCTGCCTGTGGTGGTGAAAGACCTCCCCGAGGGTGAGTTCGCGTGGGCAGGGGCCGAGGCTGCGTGCGGGGGAGGTGGGTTGCAGCTGCTCTCCGGCCGTGCGCATCCTGCCCCTGACACGGCTTCCTCCTTTTTTTCCTTGTAGGTTGGAGTCTCCCCTCCTACCTCTCTGTGCTTGTGGCGCTGGGGAACCTGGGTCTGCTGGTGGTGGCCCTGTGGAGGCGGCTGGCCCCGGGCAAGGGCGAGAGGGCCCCCATCCGAGTGGTGCAGGCGCTGAGCGTGGCGGGCACGGCCCTGCTGGCCCCGCTGTGGCCCCACGTGGCAGCAGTGGCGGGGCAGGAGCACTCCGTGGCCTTCCTGGCTCTGTCCTTCGCGCTGGCGCTGGCCTCTTGTGCTTCGAATGTCACTTTCCTGCCCTTCCTGAGCCGCTTGCCGCCTCCCTTCCTGCGGTCCTTTTTCCTGGGTCAGGGCCTCAGTGCCCTGCTGCCCTGTGCGCTGGCCCTTGTGCAGGGTGTGGGTCGCCTCGAGTGCCCACCAAGCCCCCCCAATGGCACTCCTGGGCCCCCCATTGACTTCCCAGAGCGTTTTCCTGCCAGCACTTTTTTTGGGGTCTTGTCCGCCCTATTAGTTGTTTCAGCTGCCGCCTTTCAGGGTCTCCTGGTGCTGTTGCCGTCACCACCGCCTGTACCCACAGGAGGCCCAGGGCCTGGCCTGCAGGTGGGAGCCCCAGGAGTGGAGGAAGAGGAAGAGGCCTCAC